ATATTTTAAAAGTGAAATAATATTAGAATTCAAAATACGTACCTTAGTTCTAAAATTATATAAGCTTCTGATGCTTTGCCAAAGTGTGTAATATTTGCTTTCTTTATTTTTCCTTTACTATCAATATTACTACCTAAATTCCCCATGTGAGTTCCGCGGCCCTGTTTAGGGAAAACAAGGACAGACCCACTGCCTACCCACAAGCATGTCGTAAGAGTCGACTAATTGGAAGCTTCCTTCAAAGTCGGAGTGCATCAGCCTGAGAGGCAAGGAACCAGCAGTCTGCATACAAATAAGTCAGATCTGAAAATGGATGCACACGCAACACTCAGGTTCTGGAACAGTCAGAAGTGAATGAACAACTAGAACTTTCCGCCAAAGTTTGCAGATAGTGAACGCGAAGAAGAAGAAGAAAAAAGAAGAAAAAGACTACTTAAATATGCAGAATATTTTATAATGTAACTAATGTGACACCTAGAAATCCCATTGTCATCTATGATTTTGATAAGACATCTACTACCAGCATACAGCCATCCTGACTAAGATATTTATATTCCCATTCATCTGCAAAACTGTTCAGCTCACCATTTCATATTTATGTAATTTCACTTCCTGATTCCCAATCTTTGTAATGTGAATCCCTGTGGTTGAAGTAAGAATACCTTGTGAAATGTGACTGTGTATTTCAGCATGTTAACCCCTTAAAGAAGTACTAATGGGTGAAAAAGACAGAACAATTCACACAGCTGAATGTTTTTCTCTCTGAGCGACGTTTACTAACCTATGCTTGGAAATATCCTTGAAATTGATATTTATGTCATATTTCTTCCATCAGAATTATAGACATTGTTCTGTAAATGTTAATATTCTATTACACAAGACTGTGAAAACATGTTATTAACCTACTCCACGATATGTGTATGTGTGGAGTGTAACAATATGGCAGTATGGCCTTAGGTCTAAACTTTCCCAACTGCTTCTAGAGGGCTTGTTTAATCACTCTAGTTAGAGGTGAAGTACAGTTCCAAGTGCAAGAGTGATATTGTCTACACTGGCCTGGAAGAGCCCAGAAGTGTCTCATATGGTGGCTGTGGCCAGAAGCTGACCCAAAGAACTTGAAACATAGGTAAGTGGACATATCAGTCCACACTGGTCATGAAACACAGGTAAGTGGACGTATCAGTCCTCACTGGTCATGAAACACAGGTAAGTGGACGTATCAGTCCACACTGGTCATGAAACACAGGTAAGTGGACGTATCAGTCCACACTGGTCATGAAACACAGGTAAGTGGACATATCAGTTCACACTGGTCATGAAAGACAGGTAAGTGGACATATAAGTTCACTCTGGTCATGAAACACAGGTAAGTGGACATATAAGTCCACACTGGTCATAAAACACAGGTAAGTGGACGTATCAGTCAACACTGGTCATGAAACACAGGTAAGTGGACGTATCAGTCCTCACTGGTCATGAAACACAGGTAAGTGGACGTATCAGTCCACACTGGTCATGAAACACAGGTAAGTGGACGTATCAGTCCACACTGGTCATGAAACACAGGTAAGTGGGACATATCAGTTCACACTGGTCATGAAAGACAGGTAAGTGGGACATATCAGTTCACACTGGTCATGAAACACAGGTAAGTGGGACATATCAGTTCACACTGGTCATGAAAGACAGGTAAGTGGGACATATCAGTTCACACTGGTCATGAAAGACAGTTAAGTGGACATATAAGTTCACTCTGGTCATGAAACACAGGTAAGTGGACATATAAGTTCACTCTGGTCATGAAACACAGGAAACACAGGCAAGTGGACATATCAGTCCACACTGGTTATGAAACACAGGTAAGTGGATATATCAGTCCACACTGGTCATGAAACACAGGTAAGTGGACATATCAGTTCACACTGGTCATGAAACACAGGTAAGTGGACATATCAGTTCACACTGGTCATAAAGCATAGATAAGTGGACATAGTTCAAACTGTCAATCTGCAACCTCTCCTATGTCCTATGATTTCAACACACCATTTTTTGTTAATTGTTCTTCCAGTCTTGTAAAAAGTAAACTAAAGGACCCTTTTCCACGCCTTTAGGGGTATAGGGCATATAGGGCTAGACCGACATTTTTATAGACCAATCAAGCACAAGATGGATGATGTCGTCAGCATCACACCAGCCGCTGTTACTTCCCGGGACTGCACCCTGTATCCACTCAAGGCTGCTAGTCAGTTGAGGAGATGACAACATTGGGAGAACAGTATGTCACTGCACATCCTGGTAAACCATTACACAACCCCAGGTTCGAGGACATACTCCCAGCTGCATCCAGTATTAGGGTGCACCACAACGCCTCGTCAAATCGGCCCGGGTGGAACAAATGCCATAATAGGCAGGGGCGCTATCGCAGCCACAGCGAACAGAGACAACCACCCCATAGAGATCAAACGTCCAAAAAGCAGGGTGAACATTATCAACCCCGTTCATCTGCTTGTTCAATCTGTCTTTCGTGGAGACACAAAAGTCCCGATTGTCCCCACAAGCGACACAGGAAAGATGATGATGATGGTCTATCTTCACGAGGTAGGTTTCAACGCAACACAGGTCCTATAAGGTGCTATGTATGCCGTGGTTTCCATAAACGTTCTGAGTGCCCAAGGGTTATGAACAGTCATGCTAATTCCACGCAAACAGTAAACGCAGCGATGTCACAAAAAGTGACAAATGTAGCGGATGGTCAAGTTCGAATCCAACCCGAAATTGTTTACCCAGCGTTGTCTGCTGTACCACTGGAGGCTGGTTTGCCTTTGCATAATGGTTATGTTGGAAACATAAAATCTAAAGTATTACGTGACACGGGCGCCAATGTTATAGGAGTGGCTAGATACCTAATCCCCAAATCGGCATACTTAGGTCGGTATTGCAAGTGTCGTACTTTTGGTGGTCGTTTAGAAAGATTTCCTTTAGCAAAAGTCTATTTAAATAACCCATATTTTCAAGGGGTTGCCGAAGTGTGTGTTTTGGAGAGACCATCAGCAGACGTACTCCTTGGATCAGTTCCAGGAGCAAAGATGCCCTCGCGTGAGGAAATCGAACGCTGGTATAAAGAAAATGAGGGTGTGACTGAAGCTAATGCTGCAGTTACACGCGCTCAACACAGAGTAAGTAACGAGGAAGCTACACCTGCGTTACAGTCAGCTACTTCGAACGAAAACCAAATAGCTATCACATGTGGGATAGCTAGCGAAGAAGCAGTAAAGAATGAACCAGAACGACCAAAAGAGCCTGGAAACGAACCACACGCACCGAAAACAAACAGTTTTGCGATACAACAACGGGCGGATCCTACCCTCACTAAATGCTTTTCTAGGGCAGAAGTAACCGGTGTTAGAACATGTAAGCAAGGTACATGGCATTTTTATGTGAAGAATGGAATTTTAATGAGATATTTTAAATCACCTGTTATGCAATGTAAACAATTAGTCGTTCCTTTATGTTATAGAACCGATGTTCTGAGAGTTGCACATGACACACCTTTTGCTGCACATTTAGGTATAGGTAAAACACAGAAAAGAGTTCTTGCACAATTCTATTGGCCTGGTTGTTCCACAGATATTAGGAAATACTGTAGGTCATGTAAAGACTGTCAAATGATGGCGAGAAAGGATGCATCTCAGAAACCTCCTATTCAAAGGGTCTATCTTCCATGTCGTCCTTTCGAAAAAGTTGCTGTCGATCTTGTGGGTCCGTTACCGGTTGTTTCACAAAGAGGATTTAGATATATTTTAACATTTGTAGACATGGCATCACGTTGGGTTGAAGCAGTACCGTTACGTCATATCACTACTGAGTCAGTAGCAGAAGCATTGATGCTTATATTCTCTAGAGTTGGCTTTCCTGAAACAATCCTATCAGATCATGGATCACAATTTATTTCAGAAGCAATGCGCTCTTTTGACAAATTACTTGCTATCTCTCACGTTTTTTTTGCAAGATATCACCCACAATCAAATGGGGTAGTAGAAAATTTAAATGGGAAAATAAAAGCTATGCTAGCCAAAGTTACTAATCAATTTCCAGCAGACTGGGACAAATACCTTCCTGCTGTTTTGTTCGCCTATCGTGAGGTGCCCCAGAGCAGTACAGGTTTCTCACCTTTCGAACTTATATATGGTGCTAATCCCAGAGGTCCACTGTCGCTGTTAAAGGACATATGGATCGGTAAAGGCGATCAAGAAGCGCCTCAAACATATATTAAATTCGTGACGGAGTTACGTAACAAGATAATCACAGGTTGTCAAGTTGCACGGGACAACTTGGAAAATACTGGTACTCATCAAAGAGAATACGTTAACCGTAACCGGAGACTGATCACTCTCCAGCCTAATGATGATGTATTGATATTTCTGCAGGATAATAATAATTGTTTATCAGCCAAATGGCAGGGTCCTTTTAAAGTTATTAAGAAAATTTCAGATGTGGACTATCTTATTGATGTCAGAGGACATCATAAAGTATATAATCTAAACATGCTTAAAGAGTTTAAGTCTCGCCCTGGTGTTTTGTCTGAAGTGTTAGAAGCAGCTGAGGCACCCGACAATAATTTGCAAGAAGAAGAAATGGAGGCAGCATTCTGCCACGTCATTGACGAAGAGAGCAATGATGTCGAGGTGGACACTGCTCATCAATTGTCTCTAACCGAACTGGTACCCAGAGAAACATGGAGAGACGTGGAAGTCGCGCCCTCGGTTCCACCAGATATGGTGCGAACATATGGTTTCATTTTGATGGGTTTATGATCTATTAATTCAATGGAATGCACTGCTTCTGTCGTTCTACCCGGTATGTCCGATAATGTTTTGTCGAATGTAGCCAAAATGAATCGAATCACGGTTGTAGATGCTGAAAATATCCCAAATATGGAAGATATGTTTGTTGCATTGTCGAAGGCTAGGTATTTTACAAAGTTAGATCTTACCAAGGGTTATTGGCAGATTCCCTTAGACGAGGATTCCCAAAAATACACCGCGTTTCAGACGAACAAAGGTTTGGTTCACTTCAACTATATGGTCTTCGGGCTTTCGGGAGCACCGGCGACGTTCACCCGCCTCGTACGCAAGTTGTTACAGGGTCGTAATGATGTTATTCATTATCTGGATGACATTCTGCTTTTCCATAATGATTTAGACGAACATATTAGAGGTCTAAATACATTACTGGAACGCATAAAATCGTTTAATCTGACAGTTAGACCAACTAAAGTGAAGGTCGCTTTCGAGGGGGTCACGTTCCTCGGTCATGTTGTAGGACACGGGGTCCGTAAACCCGAAGCCACCACGGTGGGTAAGATTCTTAACATCCCTATACCAAAAACGAAGAAACAAGTGCGTGCGTTATTGGGTTTATGTAACTTTTATGCCAAATTCATTCCTAACTATTCAACCATTACAGCCGTGTTGTCCTCATTGACGATGAAAGGAATGCCAGCGAAGGTTATCTGGACGAGAGAGTGCGAGGACGCGCTCCAGAGATTACAAAAGGCATTTAATAGTAATCCGTTCTTGTGTTTGCCAGATTTGTCTCTGCCGTTCTATGTATCCACAGATGCGTCCGATGTGGCGATTGGTGGGACGTTGTTGCAATCCAGAGAGGGCACCCTACTTCCTGTTGTTTATGCCAGCAGGAAGCTGTCTCCTACTGAATGCCGTTACAGCGTGGGCGAGAGGGAAGCACTAGCCATTTTTTGGGCAGTAGGGAAGTTTACCCAATTCCTGTATGGCAGTCACTTCTTTATCTTGACAGACCATCGTCCACTCGAAGTCTTGAACTCAGCACCCATCAAAAAACTCACGCATATTAAGATGGACAATGTTTCTACAGACGTTCAACTTCACAGTTATTTATCGCCCAGGGAAAGAAAATGTCTTAGCCGATTTTTTGTCGCGCACCCCAGAGGCATTGGAATAGGATTGATGTTTATTTGTTGAATTTACATGATATTTAAAATGCATGCTGTTATGAAAATAATTTGGATAACGATAATGTTGTTGATAATAATGCTTAGTGAAGTCAGGAATCTATATTTTGCATGCATTTAGTAATGTATTGACGATATATTGAGGAGTGAGTGTGTGTGTATTCAAGTGTTCTTATTTGCTCTCACGTACTGGTGCTGTTTACCGCGACATGACTCCAGTTTTCCGACCGAGACTACGTCAAGTCCTAGTGCTCGGTCGTCCTCGGGAGGGGGGAAAAGCTGTCGCGTGCGAATGTGCACCAGAACGCACCGGTACGGAGTGAGGAAATAAGACGTCAAAACAATACGTAACGTTGTTATGATAATATTGTTGTCAAAGCAGTTGATGTTTATAGTCCGAAGGAGACGGACGTGGGAATCCTTGAGGACGCTTTACCCCGGGATCCCACGGAAGCAAACGTTATATAAAGTTGGATCCTTGAGGACGTTTTACCCCGGGATTCCAAGATAGACCTCAGCAGGAAGCTGGTTAATACTACATTCTCGGCAGTAAGCCGGTATACTTTCATTGCTTAATTCGGACTTATCCGAGGAGAAAGTAAATCGTCTGGATCTCAAGGTCGGACTGCGACCTATCGTGAGGACATATCATTACATGGATGTACGAGCGAGCTTTGGTTGAACGAGTTGATTATTACTTGCATATGTATCCTTTGTGTTAATCATTGCTGATTGTATATATCAATACAACCGTTGGAACTTAACGCATAGCGTTCGAGCTCTACATTTTGAAAGCATTGAAGTAACTACTGTTTTACCCCTACTTGGCCTATTTCATCTTGGTACCACACACATCAGCATGAAGCTCTGCACGTCACAATGAAGGACCGCACGTATCAAGGACCCTTTTCCACGCCTTTAGGGGTATAGGGCATATAGGGCTAGACCGACATTTTTATAGACCAATCAAGCACAAGATGGATGATGTCGTCAGCATCACACCAGCCGCTGTTACTTCCCGGGACTGCACCCTGTATCCACTCAAGGCTGCTAGTCTTGTAAAGTTAATTTTAACTATGTCAGTGAACCATAGTTATAATAATTTTAATATAAATAAATATACCATTTATGTAGCAGTAAAGAATCAGATGTGGGTAAACCCTGAATCCTCTCCTTTAACCAGCTAGGATGGCAGGTAGATCTTTTAGGATGTTTAATCAATTTAGATTCTCTTTGTATATTGTTTGCTTGTGAGGTCTGTCTTCTGACTTGTAATCTTAACTAGCCTCTTCAGCAGTAGTAAAGAACAACACTATTTTTTATGTCATTATCCATCTTGCAAAGAACAGAGGAAGAATTATATTCTATTATCTTCCGTAGACTAGACATAGTGCATTCAATGTAACAAAGTGAATACTTCGCCTCACTGACAACTGACTATCCGAAATAAAAAAAAATAAAAACCTATGGAAACAAGAAACATGATTTATCCTTAAAAGATAAACACAAAGTACTCTTATACAAGTTTACAGCAAGAAAAATACAAGGTCTCTTTCTCTGAGAGAGAGAGAGAAGAGTAAGAGAAAGAGAAAAAGATAATCTGATGGTGGATACTATCACAGGGGTGAGTGGTGGTAGTCTTTACAAACATTAGATTAAGGAGTAATGAGCCAGGAAGTCCACTTCGCCATTCAGTTCTATCTTATGCAATCAGTTCCCATAAGTAAGTAAAGTGCAAAGGACCCTTGTCCACGCCTTCAGACATATTGGGCATATAGGGCTAGACATTTATTTTATAGACCTATCAGCATTCAGTGGGTGATAGGATCAATGCTGTGTTGTGGTTTACAACTAGGCAGCTATAGCTGTACTTTTCGGCCCCACATTTCCCCAGTTTCAGGAAACCCCTTTTAGGACATGCTTGTTCAAGAAAGGTGGGTTTACCAATTTAATCCCCCAAAATGGGGCTCTCTAACCCACATGGTGAGTCTAACTAGCTAATACAAATATGTTTAAATTGTATTTGAAAGAGAATTTGAGCTTATCCTTACATGATAATACTCAGAGTTGCTGTCAACCATTCTTGACATGCCAAAGTCACTAATCTTCGCAAAGTGTTCCGTCACGAGCAATACATTCCGTGTTGCCAGATCTCGGTGTACAACGTCTCGGGACTCCAAGTACTGCATCCCATCACAAATTTGAAGCATCATTTCCACCTGGTGCCACACCTTCATTTCCCTGCAAGGAGAGAAATATCTCTAATCATGGGTTGTTGATTTTTTTAAAGAATAAAAACAGGTGATGGTACTCATCACATTGTGTCTTAAAACAGGTGATGGTACTCATCACAAACTGTCTTTAAAAAGGTGATGTTACTCATTACAAAGTGTCTTAAAAAAGATAATGGTACTCACCACAAAGTGTCTTAAAACAGGTGATGGTACTCACCATAAAGTGTCTTAAAACAGGTGATGGTACTCACCATGAAGTGTCTTAAAACAGGTGATGGTACTCACCACAAAGTGGCTTAAAACAGGCGATGGCACTCACCACAAAGTGTCTTAAAACAGGTGATGGTACTCACCACAAAGTGTCTTAAAACAGGTGATGGTACTCACCATAAAGTGTCTTAAAACAGGTGATGGTACTCACCACGAAGTGTCTTAAAACAGGTGATGGTACTCACCACAAAGTGTCTTAAAACAGGTGATGGTACTTACCACAAAGTGTCTTAAAACAGGTGATGGTACTCACCACAAAGTGTCTTAAAACAGGTGATGGTACTCACTACAAAGTGGCTTAAAACAGGTGATGGTACTCACCACAAAGTGGCTTAAAACAGGTGATGGTACTCACCACAAAGTGTCTATTACAATATCGCTGAAAAGATTATGCCCTGAAGAAGAAAAATATGCCCAACAAAAAGGTGCATACTGCTTTATGTGCCAACCCTGACCCTGGGCAAGGACAACAGCTCAGAGAAGTCACCTTCAGGCATCAGAAATGAGGTATCTGAGAAAGGTGGTCTATGTGACAAACTTTCATGATCTTGAAACCCAGGTCTTACAAAGTCGATTGGATCAGTCACAGTTACAGTTTGGACACATATGCAGAATGGGAAAGAATCGACCCTAAAGGCAGGCACGGGAGGCCAAGAACCAGACCTCCAGGACGATCCAGAGTAAGCTGGGAAGATAACATCTGACAGTCTGAATAAAAAACTGCTGACACAGAATCTGGCAATCTCTCTGGCAAACCCCAACACCCCAGGGTTGAAGAGGGTCGACTGAGTAAGTAAGAAGGTGCCAATACTGTGTATCATTGAGCACCACCATAAAAAATGTCCTTGCTTTAATTCTACAATGTCAACAATGAAGCCAATTATGTTGCCTAACAAATTATATCCTGTAGAGTGATAACTTAAGGGCTGGCAAGACTGATAAGAAAAAGAGCAAGGTGAAGGCTCAGAGATTAATATCTGGATGGCTTAACCATATGGTTAGGGTCAGACAAGAAGAATAACCTGATCCGTGATTCTGGTGATCATGTGGGCGGGTTTAAAAAAATGACAGCCCATGCTTATTGGTATAACACATGATGGCAATGATGAAACTGGGCCAATCAGGCATCTTTGTCACTGATCACTTTCTTTTTTTTTGGGGGTGGGGGGGGAAGGGGAGATAAAAACTAGACTTCATCACTTGTTATAGATGAACAACACAATAAACCAGTGCAATAAAGACGAACATTGATGAGAGGCCCAAAGGTGCTGGACTGGATTCTTCTTCTTCTTCTTCTGCGTTCATCCAAAGATGTAACTGCGTTGTGTCCGTTTACAGCATGGCTGCAATATATTTGCACCTTTCGGCCAACACATCCGACTTCTGCTGGCATTTGTTGACCGGGTTAGCCTTCCCGGTGGACTGGATTCTATCCATGATATATACTGAAACAACTACACAGGATAGAACAGATTAAATGAATAAACGGTGAGCCCTGTTTGATGTATAATGGCGCAAAAGGATACTGATGATGGCGATGATGAATTACTATCTAGCTACTTGGTTAAGTGATCAAGATTTATGCTTAGTGCACTTTAGGTCTGAGGTTCATTTCATTTCAGTGATCACTGGCGGGTCATTGCTGTAGCTATGGTCTTCATGCATTGTAGCACACTCAATAGGCATTGAGCTACTGTATGGCGAGAGACCAAGCAAGATGGGTAACAACCTAATGCAGCGTCAAACTGTTTACCTATCTTCTTCTTCTTCTTTTTCCATTCTTCACCTCTTCTTTTACTACTCTGGGTGTCAAGGAAGATTTAAGGTTCTGCTTCTTGCTCTTCTAGCCACCTTGACCATAAACACACCGTGCTGTTGTAGAGTTTCTCTGATGTTATCTTTCCATCTCGTTCTTGGTCTACCATGTGCTCTACATCCTTCTCCTCTTTTGGTGTATGCCTTGTATGGTATGGTGTCACAAGACATTCTAAGCGGGCAAATCTCTTGATCTGGTGTCTGTGTATGTAATTTAAAATTGGTTATGTGCTGACTTTTTTCTTATGATCTCATTCCTGATTTTATATTTCATGGTATTCTCTGTAGCGATAGTAAATCCACGACCGGCTAGCTATGCCTACTGCACTTCACCAGAGCCCTGCGGGCCAGGATGTTTTGGGGTGCCCCGGAATGGCCTTTGTGGTTAACATAGTGGTCGTGTGGCTAAACCATACTTCGCAAAATCCTAGCAATCCCCTACACTGCCCTTCTTACCACCTCTCACGACAGTTCACCTATACAAAAAATTTTTTCTCACTCCCTTTTTATTTAATTATTTCAACAACTTACAAATGTTTCTCCAGATACTTCTTAAGGGGACCAAGCTCTGCTAGTTCCATCACCAGCATAAGACTTTCACCTTTACAGACACCTGTCAGAAAAGTTGACGAAATACCAATTCGACGATTTAATATCAACATTAATAATAAATAAATTGTGTTTTTCTGCACCCAAATTATCAGAAGTGTTTTCTCTTCAACCTTGTCATCACATGAAGTGGATTGTACTCTCTGTGGAAAAGTGTTTCAGTTATCTAATTTGGGCTCTGAACATTAGAGATTAGTCGAAGAAAAAAAAAAGTGAAAAAAAAAAAGGGGGGGGGGGTAAAGAAGAGCCTGGAATTACAACATCAAGATGTGTAAAAGTAAGTAAAAATCCCTTTTTTCACACCTATAGGCGCACCGGGCATATGGGAAGAGCAACCACATTTTTAAAGACCAATCAGCACTAGGTGGGTAATCTGGTCAGCATTACGCCGGCTGACATCAAGATATGGACAGGACTAAATTATCATAGACTTGTTCAACAAGCAGAAGACAGAAAAAGATAATGTGTTTTGAGAACTAGTGCTTCCAACAATACACCTCCATGACCCTAACGGGCCAAAAGTTACGATTATTTTATGTAATTTTGGCTCTGAAAGTTGTGGGTTTAATTTCAGACTGTCCTTCAGCGTTTCAACACAGGCATTTTAGAGACCTATTGGGGTTATTGCTGAGGTTACAGATTTGTGTGTTCTGAGAGGTCCTCCAGGCAGGCGAACACTTCTGCTCTGCAGAGAGAGAGAGAGAGAGGGAGAAAGAGAGAGAGTGACAGAGACAGAGAGAGACAGAGAGAGAGAGAGATAGAGAATGAGAGAGAGAGAGACCATGCCATATGGGATAAAATCCTGTGCAATGAAGCCAATCCTCTTGCCTCTAACCCTTTCACCCAGCTAACCCTTTGGGGGAGAAGGGCCCAGAACCAGGGCACTGTCACCAAAATCCATTAATATTTATTCATTTACATTTTTTTAAAATTTCTTTTCTATATAAATTTAGTGAGATAATAAAAATATGAACAAAATAAAGAATTAAATTGATTATTTTCCTCTGGGCCTTAAAAATTGTATTGGTCACACATACCATCTTGCCGGTTTGCTAATACTAAGACCCTCGCTTCCCTCGTGTATTTTTAGTAAACATAATCATATCCCTGGCTCCTAAACACAGTGCAGGCTCAAACAAAACCAATGCAATTAACTAGACTTGCTAGAAAGGGGCCAATGAAGCAACACTAATTTAGCGGCACTGAAGTTTTTAAAACCATGATCCTAATAATCACATGATGCTTGAGAATCTTTACTATAATGCTTACCAATCATTCGTACAATGTGTTGATGATCCAACCTTTTCATCAGGGTTGCCTCTCTAAGAATTTCTTTCTGGAAGTAAAATGGTGTCAAACAGTTATATAAATTAGCACAAGAATTACAGAATTTTGACAGGCGATAATGTTATACAAAGCACAAACTCTGTAGCTCCAGTGATACTCCCAGGGATCTCTCCTAACAAAACAACAAACATATTTTGGTGCCCGACAAATCAACACCACTAAAAACCATTATTAGCAAGGTCTATCATATACTTGAACAACAACTGTGGAATATGAATGATAGAAATAGCACCATGGGTTATAATCACAGAGTGACTACTGTAATTCTTTCTCACTACACAGTGAATGCAAAAATCATACAGCATTCATTTGCTGAGTGGTCTCTGGGTATGGCATGAGTGGAAAAATTACAGAACATTCATTATCAGATTTCCTATTATAACATGAGTGGAACAATTACAGAACATTCATTATCAGATTTCCAATGTTAGAATTAATGGAACAATCACATAACATTCATTATCAGATTCTCTATTATTACATGAATGGAACAATTACAGAACATTCATTATCAGATTCCCTATTATAACATAAGTGGAACAATTACAAAACATTCATTATTAAATTCGCTATTATAAAACGAATGCAACAATTAACACAACATTCATTATCAGATCGCCTATTATAACATGAGTGGAACAATTACAGAACATTCATTATCAGCCTATTATAACATAAGCAAAACAAATACAGAACATTCATTATCAGATTCCCTATTATAACATGAGTGGAACAATTACAGGATATTCATTATCAGATTTACTATTATAACATAAGTAGAACAATTACAGAACATTAATTATCAGATTCCCTATTATAACATGAGTGGAACAATTACAGAACATTCATTATTATATTCCCTATTATAAAATGAATGAAACAATTCACAGAACATTAATTATCAGATTCCCTATTATAACATGAGTGGAACAATTACAGAACATTCATTATTAGATTCCCTATTATTAAATGAATGGAACAATTAAAGAACATTCATTATCAGATTTCCTATTATAACATGAATGGAACAATTACAGAACATTCATTATCAGATTCCCTATTATAACATGAGTGGAACAATCACAGAAAATGTATTATCAGATTCCCTATTATTACATGAATGGAACAATTACAGAACATTCATTATCAGATTTCCTATTATAACATAAGTGGAACAATTACAAAACATTCATTATTAGATTCGCTATTATAAAATGAATAGAACAATTCACAGAACATTCATTATCAGATTCCCTATTATAACATGAGTGGAACAATTACAGAACATTCATTATCAGATTTCCTATTATAACATAAGTGGAACAATTACAAAACATTCCTTATCAGATTCCCTATTATAACATGAGTGGAACAATTAGAGAATATTCATTATCAGATTTCCTATTATAACGTGAGTGGAACAATTACAGAACAGTCATTATCAGATTTCTTATTATAACATGGGTGGAACAATTACATAACATTTATTAACAGATTTTCTATTATAGAGTGCAGCAATCATATAACATTCCTTACCAGATTTCCTACTATGTAATGACAGGAATAATCACAGAGCAGTCATTATCAGATTCACAAACAGAGATCGCATACAATAAATAGAACAATTTCAGAACATTCAATTTCACATTCCTAGTTATATATAAAATGGAACAATTATAGAACAAACTGTTATGTGCCATTTATAAGCCTATACATGTGTGAGAAAGTGGAACTCAGTTTGAGTGGAGCGCATTTATGGAATATAATAGGCATTTCTAAGCCTATAAATGTGTGTGAGAGAAAGTGGAACTCAGTATGAGTGAAGTACATTTATGGAATAAAACAATCGCAGAATGTTCATTATCAGATCCCCTTCTATATATAAACAGAAACATCACAGAAGTCTCATATTTCTAAACACACAAACCTCTCCGGCAGGATCATTATTTTTCAAAGTTTTCACAGCCACTGGCACAGTCTTGTTAACAAGATGGCAGACACCTTTCTTTACTTCCCCAAACTGGCCAGATCCTGGAATCAAAGAAACTTTACACTGACAATTCTGTAACCCTCAACTTTCCAATATTTACCATTTTTTTTACACAGGACTGGAAAACACAATAATTTCCCATAAATGTAAAATTGTTATTATTTCACACTGCTTTGGTAAAAATGACAATTGCCCATAATTTTCCAATGGTTATTATTTTACACTGCATTGGAAAACATGGTAACTGCCCATAACATTCCTTTTTTTTTTTTTAAACTGTATTAGTAAACATGATAATTATTTCAAATGTGTCATCAACTATTATTTTACACTATTAGTAAACATGATAATTTTCCAAAATGTGTCAACAGTTATTATTTTACACTATTAGTAAACATGATAATTTTCCAAAATGTCTCAACAATTATTATTTTAAACTGTATTAGTAAACATGATAATTTTCCAAAATGTGTCAACAGTTATTATTTTACACTGTATTAGTAAATATGGTGAGTATCCATATGTTAAACTGATTGTTACGCTGTGGTGATATAGTGGTTAATGCAAGGTTTACCAACATTTTTTTTTAGTGTTCACTCTTAAAAGGGTGACATTTAGTAGTAGTAGTTTTCACAAAAATATCCTGTTCACACCCTCAGGGTTATAGTTATGATATAACGTGTTCATCAAGTTCTCACAGTTTATATGTGTTTATTTAATATACTCATAATTATTTATTCAGGACAATAATGTAATTTGTATTAATATTTCAAATACTGCTATGTTTATACCTTTCTGGGTTGTGATTAAGACAGAAATTGTACTTTGAATATTTGGATAATCTTACTAACGCTGTGTCATTAAAATAGAGAATTATGCATTTAGCAAAATAGTTGACTTCCCTTGTTGATTTTATCTTTCGGAGAAATTTCTTCAGAGGTGGCATGAGTCTTTTTTCACCTTCTATATTCGGATTTAAGTTCTAGTAATAAATTGCTTGACCTTACATGTCTCTGGGGGCTGTCTATGTGCAACAAGTTTCCCATTATCATGGATAATTCACAGAGATTCATAGTCAGTTATAGTAACATTAAAGAGATTAGCCAAGGAGAAATATGGGTAAAGGTACCAGAGGGCAGAGAAGAACTGCACAAAGTGGTAATTACCTTGGGATGAGAATGCAGGGAATGGGTAGTGGGATGTGCAGATGTAGAGGCTCAACAGCTGATGGAGGACAATTCTAGGCCAGGAGATGTGATTATATACACAGATGAGTCAGTGGACAGGGGCAGAAAAATTGGATGAGGTTTTGTTGCAAAAGCATGGGTGGAGAAAGATGACAGAGGAGAACTTGACATATTACATTATCACATCCAGTATGAGAATGGAGATTAAGATGGTAACAGCAGTGTTCTGGTGTTAGAAGAAAATTTCAGCCACACATGCTGTCACAGTATTGGATTCTCAAAGTGTGCTCAGGAGGGTAGAGTCAGGTTTTTCTTTGTATGGAATGGGTTACATCAATCAAGTGGTGACAGCCACATCGCTATTTTGTCCGGCCATTCAGATGTGTCTGCGAATGAGCAGGTGAATAGGCTGGCTGGACTGGCCCCACTGTGAGGTGTACTGTAACTGCACAAGACAGAGGCGATCTCTAACCTGTGGGATAACTGCAACTGCACAAGACAGAGGTGATCTCTAACCTGTGGGACAACTACAACTGCACAAGACAGAGGTGATCTCTAACTTGTGGGACAACTGCAACTGTACAAGAGAGAGGTGATCTCTAACTTGTGGGACAATTGCAGCTGCACAAGACAGAGGTGATCTCTAACTTGTGGGACAACTGCAACTGCACAAGACAGAGGTGATCTCTAACCTGTGGGATAACTGCACAAGACAGAGGTGATCTCTAACCTGTAGGACAGCTGCAACTGCACAAGACAGAGGTGATCTCTAACCTGTGGGACAACTACAACTGCACAAGACAGGGGTGATCTCTAACTTGTGGGACAACTGCAACTGTACAAGACAGAGGTGATCTCTAACTTGTGGGACAATTGCAACTGCACAAGACAGAGGTGATCTCTAACTTGTGGGACAACTCCAACTGCACAAGACAGAGGTGATCTCTAACCTGTAAAACAAGCTTACAGGTGAAATGGAAGATACTGAAAACCCGTAACTGGAGAGAATGATACAGCTGGACATAGCTGTGGGCTCTGTGCACCACTCGAGACTTAGAGGGAAGGCAAGACGAGTAGACCTGATAAAAACGGGCCCCATCAGTATGAAAACTCTTTGCTGTCTGTTAAGCAGGGAGGCGGAGCTAATATGGGCTTGCCTTGAATGCTGTGCCTGAATGCTGCCATGTCAAATCTTTACCCAAATGAACCCAGTTAGGCTGCAATATATGCGCTTTGCAGCCCAAAACATCAGATTTCAGCAAACTCCTAATTAGTAGCCTTTTGCAATATGCTTGTTAGGAGTAAGTCAAGCAAAGGAACCTCTTTAACACCTTCAGGCATACTGGACTAGACCTATATTTTATAAACTATTTGGCACTCAGTGATTGATTTGGTCAACATTACGCCAGTTGTCTTGTTAGGGGACAGTGGGTCTATCACCCCACCTGAAAAATGGGTTCCTGGAACCCAAAGAGATACTTACCAATATTTTTTTTTTACCTTTCAAATCCTATAATTTGTCTGACAGCACTCACCTAACTTTCCCTCTAATATAACCTGTTCTGGCTGAAGATCATTGGACATGACATCCTCCCTGATATCAATGTAAACGCTCTCCAACTTTTCTGCATCTTCGTGGGTCATGGGTGAGTCTGGCAAACCTAGAAGATAACAAGTGAGAAATTGTGAAATACACATGGCAGTGTTCACTTTCATCTATTTTGTATAAAATCCTTTTTATTGTCCTCAAAACAAAAACAAAAAGTGGTTGGTTAAAAGAAAAGGTGATAAAATGATACAATATCAAATCAACTTCACTGCATTGGGTGTTACCCCATTGGGATTTTTCTCATTCCACAAAGCAGCGGGCCCTCTGCTGAAAGCATTACTGAGAGAATGAAATCTGCAGCTTCAGCAATAACCAGCAGGGATCTTTGAAAAAGAAAACTGCCCTTGAGAACTGAGTCAGAAAATGAAACTATAACTGCCCCATCAATAAGTGCAGATGGTCATGGTTTCACATCCCACACGATACAAGCTGGATCAGGTCAGTGCTCATGTCCCACCCCCATCCATTTAGCCAAGTTATCCAGGCATTTTATCTCTTCATCTTCCACTTCTGTTTTCCCATTTCAATCTTGCCTGCCATCAGTGTTCTTGAGTCTCTTCATCCTACCATTTCAGATCTTTGATATACCGGGCACACAGAGCTAGATCCAGATTTGTACTGACCTACTGCCACTCAATGTGTGATGTGGTCATTCTCATGCTGACCATCTTTACTTCCTATGAAATTTCTCTGTGACCATTTTATACACTGCGCAGAAATTACAAATAAAATGTCATATACCCAGTATTATGCCTTGTTGGGTGAAATAGGGTCTGTTACTTTTACAGACATAACCTGATCCACTTTAGTTAGAAACAAATGCTATACCTCTTGGCCACACTTTCATAGTAAAGTAGTTAAGCCATCTGCCTCATACTCTAAAGGTAATAGATTCATTTATAGACCGTAAATGAAGTTGTGAAGATTGATCTGAAGGGAAAGGCCAAGACATATGTAATAAATCTTTGTTGAATGTAATAAAACTACTCATTTTTAAAGCTATAAAGCTTTTTTCTTCTATTCTGTTTTTGTTTGTTGTTCACCGGCTGTAAGCTCTGGTGGAAAGTCCTGGTTGTTTGTCCATTTGGACTTTGGCTTCATGCCAGGGTCAGGATTGTGCGTTTACATCTATTTTACTGGCTTATTTTCTGTGCAGTTGGTTGTTCCTTGCCTCTCAGGCAGATATACTCTGACTTCGAAGAAAACCCGCAATTAGTCTTACAACATACTTGTTGGGAAGACAGTGAGGTCTATTCTTATTTTCCCCACAATGGGACCCCAGAAAGCACAAAGGGATTTCTTCTGATAATTTTCTTTCTTTCATCTTATTCTTCTTCTTCCCATTCTCTCAGGGGTAGCTGTCACAGTGTATTGTTGTTTACAACTAGACAGTGATATCTGCACCTTATGATCCAAAACATCCTATTTCAGCTCATTCTTAATTAGTCATCTTTTACTTTAATTAGTTGTCAATTATGACACACTTGTTCAGGGTTAGTGGGTTTGATATTTACCCCCCCCCCCCCCCCCCCCCCAACTGGAGCCTCGGAAGCTATATTTAAAAAGGTTAAAGTTGAAGGTTTAAGTCGAGAGGATCGACTTCACTGCACCGGGTTCTACCTCATTTAACTCAATCTCCTTTCGCAGAACCATTAGCCAAGAGCCACGCACAAAGCATGAACTCTGCAGCTCCAGAAATGATCCCCAGTGATCTACATAAAAATGTTCTCATGAACTGTAATACACAGTCGTGAAAAATGAACTCACAACCTTCAAAGCGCGAGACAAATGGCTTAACCACTTCACCATGGAGGCCCTTTATCTACCCAGGCATAAACTCACATGTTTTAACTGTATCCTCATCATCTGTGGTTTCCTCCGATGTAGACTTTTCCATGAAAGGAATCCTCTTCTCTCTGGGTGGTATATCGACCCCAGGTGCACCATTAGGTGCTGGTACAGGTGGCGGTGGTCGGTCTGGAGTCCTCCCACTAGAAGGGATGGGAGGCAGTCGAGGAGGTATCGGCTTGGCAATATCTGGTAAAGAGCTTGGAGGTTTTGGTCTTGGCGGGGTGCCACTAGACTGAAAGAAAGACACACACACAGGAGTTTATCAACCACAAACTCACAAACAGGGTTTTTTAATAACAAGTTAACTCTTTTGCCTCAGGAAGTACCAAAAAAGGACTTCCGGTGTGTGCCATGTGCTGTAAGCAATATACAGATATATGAGAGGGTTATGTCCCTTGGTGATATAGTCCATATATTACAACATTGATGTCCCTTGAAGTTTGAAATTAAAATTAAGGGAGTCATGTGGAAATTGGGCCACAGACCCATTTGCCGGGATCACAGGGTCAAGGACCTGTATAAATGTGCAATTGGGGGAAATCATAAGGAAATTCATGAATAATTGTGAACCATGGTCGCACAAGAAAACTCAGTAGAGATGGTGAACTGTGTGTTATCAGAGTTCATCCCAAGAAATGAGAGGAAGAGTCGACTCCACGAAGAGAAAAGAGCAGTTGACTCTACGACGCTGAAGTGGAAGGACGCATCGTCAGAGCCTCATAACTGATGTTATTATTACTTGCGCAGCTGTAGCGGGGTATCAGTGAGCTAGGGTGATGTGCAGGAAGGTATGTTCTAGTCTGTGTGTTGCCAGACTAGACGCTGGAGTTAAAGTTTCCAGGTTATCTGCGAAAGTTGCCACAGTAGCACGATCGAGCGTGATGTATATTCGTGAGGCAAGATCAGGAGATGTCAAGGTATGTGGCAGGCTGAAGACTGAGTGTCTAGATAATTTCTACACAAAGTTTTGTGCATGGGCCTGTATGATCTCTCTAGTGACTGTATATCGAAGTGATGGGCCTCAGACAGACAGTCACGTAATCACTAACAGTGGACTTGCACGAGCGGGTAATGATTACCACAGAACATAGGGTGGCAATAGAAGTCTTCCAGAGCGTCTTGATTGTGTATGCATTGGTAGTGAGAATGACAGCAGCAGTATGAAATTCGTATCTCGTACTGCCATTCATTGTCCTGATGTCGAAATACAGTGAACAGACTTTGACGGTCAAAACGTGCCAGGCGTCCTCTATTACTGTTGAGCGGGAGTTGTGACTTAAAAGTGTGACACTACTGAGTAAACCCTAGATGCTTGGCAAGTGTGCGGTGTAACCTGTACATCGCACACACCACCAGACCCATGTAAAAGCAATTTTAACCGGCACAGCTATAGTGACTTGTTTACGAGAACTCTCATCAAGAGCACCGATCTTGTTTGCACAAATGCCCAAATGTTTTATAGGTCCACCAATGGCTATAGTTACTACAAAATAGGATTTGTGGGTGTTTTCTTGTGGTAAACTGTTTTTTTTTTTACAGAAATTATGATATCATCCTTTCCTGTTAATCAGTGGTCTCCTGTTTCCACGGTTAAAAAATAAGTCAATGTGTTGAATTTATTCAACCTCAGAAAGATGTAACCCAGTTTATTCTCTGCTGCATTCACTTTTAACTGATTACCCCATTTCATCTGTGCATTATTTTTGTTTTGACAATTGTCGGGAAGTGAACAGCCAACCCTACACTGTGGACTAGTCATGACGCTGACATCCCTAGCGGGCACGTCACATTTCAAATTTAAACCTGTCCTGGGGGAGGGGGTGTATGTAGTCCCCTATATTGATATATACCTCTATCTTGTGGAATAAACATTTCTAGACCCTCTAGTTAGTTTGAGAAGTCTACATTTTCAAACTTGCAACTGTGGGATAGATATTTCGGGAATATTATTCAGAAATTCCGGTAAGCCTTTTTACTCCTTGGGCACGAATACAAGGACTTCTTTTCTAGATACGACAAGCTTAGTCTGGGGCGGGCATTCTTTTGCCAGACCTCTGAGGTGTCGGGAGACTTTTTAAGTCGCTCATTAAATTTGGCGCTATCAAAATACCAGTTTAATCTTTGAAGGATTCCTAAGCTTGGGTAAGTATATTATAGTTTACGAGTACCATGATACATGTCTCTTTAAAGTTGGCCACTGCTGCAGGGAGGGAAGATTCAGCTGTGTGACCGCACGGAACTTGGCCGTTCTTGACATCCAGACACTCCAGGCCTTAAATCAAACCTTTCCCTCCACAGGCTAACTAGTTTGTGCCGTACATGTCACACACCATTGTAAAGATATTAAACTCAGCAAGTTAATTATTCTCTAATTAGACAACGGAGTTGTGTCGACTAGCAGACATATGTAAACTGGGTCAACCTTCAGTCGGCTAGATACTGTGACGTCAGAGCTCGACGCTCTGAGTCAAAGGTTAACTTTAGCACGACAACATTGGGTGTGTAGTAGGCAGATTGTGAAGATATGCAATATATACATGTACGAACGAGATAGAATGTATGTCTGCGGGTGCAGATAGGAAGATGGAGAGTGGATGATCTATGTGTAGTAGTATCTATCTATCTCCACTATGTACCTGGTCTTCTATCTGGTTACTGACTTACAGACAGATATAGGAAGGGGACATTGTCTCCTGTTCTTGAGAATATACTCTGAGTGACTAAGAAGGGTAGCGGGAGATAAGTTGAGCTGGTGTGTGAATCTTAAGATGATTACTAATTCTGAGCTCTTTCCTGACAGGATGATACCTCCTTAGAAGTCAGGCAGACGAATCACAGTCCAACCAACAACCACCAACCCATACCATCCCTATCACCAAACCTACCCAAAATCCTACCTATTGTTGGCAGAACTTCAACATGGCAGGAGCTTGTGTGTGAGTTCCAGTGGCTGAGAGACAGTATTGCAGGCCACCTATGTCATCAATCCAAGGAATCATTCTTCAGGAGCTTGTGTGTGAGTTCCAGTGGCTGAGAGACAGTATTGCAGGCCACCTGTGTCATCGATCCAAGGAAGCCTTCTTCAGGAACTTTGTTGGGCTCCAGTGCAGTTCCTTCGCCCTCATATGTGAGACGATCAGTGTTTACCAGATCAACCCGAGGCAAAGCGATCTATTGAGTCAGCTGATTCAAATCACCATGGACTGAGGGGAGCAGTGACCTACCGGATTGGATAAGTACCATCTGAGATGACATACATGCTCTCTGTATTTGGCTCCCTATGATTCACAATGATGACTCATGATTTCTCAGACTATCTGGCTGTTTCAATATCATCGCTGTGACGTTAAGTCCTAACTCCATTCACTGGAAACCATCTTGATTGTCTTTATATATATATATATATATATATATATATATATATATATATATATATATATATATATATATATATATATATATATATATATATATATATATATATATATATGTTGAAATTATTACAACCGTTTTCAGAAATTTTTATGGCCGACTTGAGTGTCCTTGTTTCACCATTCTAACTGTCGAGCTTTTATGTTTGTGTGATTAGTAAGTGTAATCTGTGTTAACATGGCTATGATAGTATACTATCATAACCTGGGGGCTACCTTTTTATAGTAGTGGGGGTGTCCAGCCAAGTGTGCCTAGGAATATTAGATATTCTATAGTGCCAGAGCTTGAGTTGCCCTACTCCTGAAATAAGTTGGGCGTATATTGGCCACGGGATATTGGACCAATACGAGCCAATGCCTCAACATTATTATTTCAGAGTGCTGTTGGTTCTTAAGGAGAAATCCTTAAATCAGGCACGCGACACGAGCGGTATGTGACAACACGTCTGAAAATTGAATTTGTAGTCAGAGGAAGAGAGACAAAAAGGTTAAAGTCAAGAGGATTGACTTCACTGCACTAGGTTTTATCCCATACGGCTCTGTTTCTCTCAGCAGAACAGCTAGCTGCCACACAAAGTGTGTCACACAAAGCACAAACTCCACGGTCCCTGTGAAGATTCATAGAGATCTCCGTAAAAACAGAACTCACGAAATGAACGACACATCCGTAAATTGAACCAACAACCTTTACAGCACAAGGCCAACGGCATAAAACCACTTCACCACAGAGAGCAAATGAAATGAAAGTAACTCTCAATGCTCATATCTTAGGTAACAAATTTTGCTCATTTCCTGCTACTCATTTTAGGCTGGGTAGACTTGGGAGCCCTCAGTGGATCCACATTAGAGCAGATTTGAACCCAAGACCTTCCGGGGAGCAAGCAAATGCCTAGCCACAATGATAATATGACTTCCATGTCTGTGTATGTACATATATAGTGTGTGTATGTGTATGTGTATATATATATATATATAATACAATACTAATTATTAGCAGATGATCCTCACCGCCCCCTATGTGAAGTGTGTGTTTACATTACAAGCACAAGCTACACACACGGTTACAATTCAAAAGTATTAATAGTACTAAAACATACAAAAACTCGCATTCACTGTTCTCTAGATCCATAAGTGAAGGGACAATAATTTAATATCATATATGCATACAACACACACATATACACTCATGTGTGTGTGTGTGTGTGTGTGGGGGGGGGGGGGTGTCATTCCCCAGACATTATTACAATTATAAAGCAACAAAACACATATCTAAGATATAATAAATACACAGTACATGATAAATGAAAAACTGAAACAATTCAAAAACACCTACCTTTTGAAGGAGACACTGGTGGAGACGTACATAATCTGAAACAAAAATAAACAAGATTGACTGATGTCATGAGGTGAATAAATTGTTGTAAAATCTACACAATGTAGGTCAGCTGCAGTACACCCATTAGTATCTCTGCGAACGTTGCATGGTGAGGCCCCACTCTTTCACACTGCAACTCTCGTACCACTGTCCGACAGCCACATGAAGGTCTGTTTCTAAATCGACCGACATGGATATCAAACCCTGCTTGGTCTAGGCTTAGTAGGAAGACCCAAAAAAAAAAAAAAAAACAGCCGATTGTCCCATTTCATACAAATCTAGGCATTAGCTAAAGAACAAAATATACAGTGTTCTGTCACCACTACTGTTCATCATTTACGTCGACCAAATTTGCAAATCAGCTAACTTCAGCAAAGGGGAAATCGGAAAATCCTAAATGAATCGCTTTTGCCGATGACCAGAAAATTATAGCACCAACAGCAGTAAAGCTACAAGAACATATTAATAGATTCCACTCAGAATGGGACAACTACGATATGAAGATCAACGTAGACAAAACAGAAGCGATGACATTTTCCAGAAAAAAATAAAGCACCAATATAAAAAAAAGGAAGCTTGTTAAAGCCAGCAAAGGGTTTTTACATATCTTGGGAGCATTTTTTCATAAGAAGGAAAAATTTATTTTTAAAAAAACCAGCAAAGATGCAATAAAGCCAATCAAGTTTTAGGCCAAATGGCACCAATTTTAAAATGCAAGTAATGTGAATATGAACATTAAAAGAACACTGTTCAATGATATCAATGTCAAACATGGACACTGTCCTCCTAAGACAGAAAGAAAATAGTTACGACACAAATGAAATGTTTACGTACTATGCTTGGTGTAACGAGGAAAGATAAACTTAGGAGCGATGATATCAGGAGGAGAGTCGGCACAGAACCAATACTAAACTTTATAGGTAGACAACAAATCAAATGGTTTGGCCATGTAACAAGATTGACATCAGCCAGGGCACCACAGAGGGCAATGTTATACAGGTACAGCGGTAATAGAGCCAGAGGTCAACAGAAAACTCCTGAAGCATTGCATCACAGCGCCAGGTTTAATCCCATTTGGCCTAGTCTCTCTCTGCCAGTCATTACCGAGAGCCTGTGAAAATTGCACTTGTGAATCAAGCAACACGGTCTGTAAAACAAACCTATGATCTTCAGAGCACTAGGCAAATGGCTTAATCACTTAGCCACAGAGACTCCCTAAATCTGGTTTATTTAATTTCAAAACAATTTTTTAAAATTCTATATTTTAAAATTATACTATTACTTTTTCTTCTTCTGCATCAGGCATAAAATGGTTGTCGGCACACTGTGTTGCAGTTTACAGTCAGGCTGTTTAATCTGGGTCTTTTGGCCTCCCCCCCCCCCCCCAATCAGATTTCAACAAACTCTTCATCAGTCGCTTTTTACGATCTGCTTGTTAACCCGCTCAACCTGTAAGGAAAAAGATTTTTAAAAAATTAAATTACCTTTTTTTTCCCCAAATATCTATATAAAGAAGTGCATCCTTTTTATTCTCAGAAATTCTATCCGGACAAACTAGAGGAAGAGAAAAAGAATCAGAAGAAATGTGGAGTCTTGGTCGGTGTTTATAAAATTCCAAGGGGTTTAAACCTATGGCCACAGAGCAAGTTGTGTTATCGCAGACATCAAATCATCAAAACACAATTATTATTTTTTTAAATATTATTTTTAACAACCCAAAAATCCACTTTCTAGTAACCACTAAATACTAAATGAGCAAAGAATTAATTACTTTCACTCCCTTTGACCATGAAATATATGGTTTTGTTAATACAGCCATGAGCAGCAAAGTTAGGCCATCACATGTTTAACCCTCTTAGCACGGACGGGCCGATTATCGGCCGGCGGATGTCTGGCCAAAAACACGGAACGGCCGATGATCGGCCCGATCGTGTTTCGCCTCGAACCGCTAAGAAATCTCCTACTTTGAAACACTGAAAGTGATTCATTTATATTAACTGCGGTATCAGCTTTACACATGGCGACTTTCGAGTGTTTGGTATCGAAGTGAAAATTGTTGTTGAATTTTTTAGATAGTGACCTGAACCGCTAAAAGTATGTCTGACTCGTATGTTTCTGCCCCTAAACTTGATGTTGATAAAACATTTGAATCAAGTGATAACACTAATTCTGTTGATACTGATGCAGGATTTAGTGTTAGTAGTAATAGTGGAATCAGATGGGGACGCTGTTGTGTTCAGACCACAGCCCATCCATGGCTCAGGGTATATCCACCCGAGACGTGTTGTCAATCCGGCACATCCATTTCTAGTGCTGACTGATGGTGAAAAACACATGTCACCTAAAGATATTATTGCTGTTTCACATATATATATACCTGTTTTTGACTTTTGAATTGCTTACAACATTTGTAAAAAAGCCAAAGATCAATAAAAAGATTTCAAATAAAAAAGATTTTTGTTTTTAGTTTTATGTTTCAAGCATTGAAGTTGAAAATTCAAATTCATATTTTATATTTTTAGATATGCAAATGAGATAATTTGCATATACATCAATTAATTTTAACGATATTGTGAAAATCACGAACTTCAATCTATATCCTTCAAATAGATATATTATTTCATAGGGGTCAGAATAACAGAAATCTGTCAAAAAAATTTAAATAAAGTAATAACCAAATTCACTGAAAAAATGCTCTGTGTTTTTGGCTAGACCTCTGAAAAACTTCCCATGCTAAAAGGGTTAATATGATGCAACCATGATGTCACAATGACAACAACAAAAATAGCCCCCCCCCCCCCCCCCCCATTTAAATTTCATTTTTTGTGCTGGTAAATATACTCATACCCACCATGTCTACAAACTATGCAGGTGTAACCAGCACCAAGGCTGTTATATAGGCATAGTCACAACTGCCCAAAATGCCATAACAATTTAAAAAGAAAAATATACTTTAAAAACCGCTCAAGCCTAGATCTCAGCATTAACGTGGGAACAGGGTTTAAGAGGCAGTTAGACTATTCTCATTTTTTTTCCCTCCACTAATTTAGGCGCCGAGCCCACATAAGAAGATAATATCTATAAAGCAGACATGCATTCAAATGTACAAATGAGCACAGGACTTACTTTCAAAAACTTGATGCCTGATATTAGGAGCAGGACAAGGAGTCGTCAGTTTACACGGAAGGCCATCTCTTTTGTTATGGTAATGATCCACCAACTGATAAAAGTGGATGAGGAATATTTAATATTATCAACACAGCATTAATTCAGTCTGTAACTTCTTCTTTCTCTCTACTCCTGGAATGCCTAGTGAAAGAGATCTCTGGAACGGGCCCTTCTGTTTGCTTTGTATAAAGGACTTTCCAGTGTCTCTGATATTTCTGTGGTGCAGACTGTTGGTTCCATGTCTCTCAGGTGGATACACCCAGATACTGCAGGAAACTTTGATCATGTCTATACTGACCAGGCTTCCTAGTTGAGAGCTGGTGTAGCTGCTAAATGCTTGCCTATGAATCTGAAGGTCATGGTTTCAAATTCACACACAGCCATTTTTTCCATTCATGACCTTGGCTCCCAGGTGGACCGGACCTCAAAAGGGAACCCAGGTCAAGTCACGGGAAGTAAAGGAGACTGGCAGGATGGTGACCACATCACCCATGAGGACTGACTGGTCTTTAAAAATATGAGTCTAGACTCACATGCACAATGCGCCACTGGCGTGTAAAAAGGAAATTTACTTTATACCTTCACTGAAATTAAACTTTAGTGGAAAGTGCTGGTTGTTTGTCCATTTTGGCTTTGTTCCAGAATTTGAGTGTTGCATGTACATCTGAAATGAATCGTGGTCTACTTGGAATGAACCTTGACGTAGACTTGAAATGTACCTTGGTTTGCACCAGCTTTAACATCTAGGGTTGACAACACAAACGCCGCTCAGTTTCTTGGTACATTCTGTCAGTTTATTCTGGTCCATTTATTTCACATGTTCAAACATTATTCACACTGTATCACTCGCGACATATTCGAACATTAAACATTTGCGCAACATAAAGACGACATCTTCAAATACTACAACCGTCTTCTCTGACTTCTGATGATCGACTGACCACGAGGCTAGCTCGGGCTTCCCCTCGCTTACTCCACCGGCCACAAGTATCTCGTGCCGTGACTTGTAGCACGGACTTCCTGCTTGCCACAATGTACTCGTGGAGACCATGCAAAGCAGGGTCATCACACTCTCCCCCCTTTTTAACAAAATGACACTTTATGGAACATCAAGTGTCATTTTCATTTAACCAGATATAGTAAATCAATTTAATTGTATTCCCACTAGGGATTATGGTTCCTGATTATCCTCAATTACTGCCCTTTAAAATTGCCTTTAATATTTACTGCATGCTTTTCCTAGTACTGAGCTGGTGAAGAGTTTAAACCATCTTTACACCTATTGCATCTGCAGTATTGTCTAGTCACTATATCTAATCTATCGGGTTTAAAGTGAAATGATGATAGTGATGATGATTGTCAGCTTTGAGATATTTACTACATAGAAAATTGGATTTAACCAATATTTCTACATCACCTTTCACAGGGTATTCATCCCCAAGGACTCTTAGCCGATATGATAGTGGTGAGATGATTGTCAGCTTTGAGATATTTACTACATAGAGAATTGGATTTAACCAATATTTCTACATCACCTTTTACAGGGTATTAAACCCCAAGGACTCTTAGCCGATATGATAGTGGTGAGATGATTGTCAGCTTTGAGGTATTTATTACATAGAAAATTGGATTCAACCAATATTTATACATCACCTTTCACAGGGTGTTAAACCCCAAGGACTCTTAGCCGATATGATAGTGGTAAGATATATTTATCATAGTGCTTCCGGTTTCCCAAAAGCCTCTATAACACCTTTTACAGGGTAATTACCCAACCCCAAGGAATCTACCACAGAAAAAAAAAATGCATGTTGAGATATTTTTTCATAGACCAAAGTCTCACCTTTCACAGAGTAATTACCCAACTCCAAGGAATCCAACATGAAAACAATGATAGTTGAGATATATTTTTTCATAGATCTTAGAGTTTCCTCCAAGTCTATACCACCTTTAACAGGGTACTTAACCCCAAGGAATCTCAGACACCTTTCCCCCTTTAGATGGACACAGATGAGTTCAACTCCTCTACTATGCTTGTGCTTTGATGTGTGCACTCTTTCTTTACCATCAGTCCATCTAGTCAGCATCAGTATAACTATAGCAGTTTATAATCTTGGGTGTCGTGGACCAATTTACCATGTCCCTGTGCTGTACACCTATGCTTAAAACATTTCAAATTGAATTTTTTATCTAAGTCATTCTGTGGAAAAAGATTTCTATATGATCTATCGCTAAATCTTGATTTAATTCTTGTGTGCTGTTCCTGGGGAGAGAGATTTTTTTTTTTCTTAACTTTTGAACTACTAACTCTGTTATTACATGAATACTAAACTATTCCTAATAAACTACTAACCTAAGTAAACTACATGTACACTATAAAAATACTACCCACAAATCTTTCATTCATCATTCATACCTGTTTTATTCTCTTTCATTCCCATTCATTCCATTAACTATCCTTGATCTTGATCCATCCCTGCAGGCTGTGTGTGTCTTGCTTGTACACTGGCGCTTGCTTTTGCGGTTCTCATTCCTTGGTTCGCTCAACAGTCTGTTCTGCTCTGGGGTCTTTCATAGTAGGATAGCTGGTAATCTTGCAAATATACTGACTTAAAATATTTTAATTTTATAAGTTGACACAACACTATGATCAGTATTCAGTGACTGCATACACTGATATGCCACCTTTAAAATAATTAGTAATTAAATTAAACGGAAGGTGTTCAATACACACAGTATGTGGCTGCTTTTTATAAATGAAATCAGGTGTTTATGCACTTTTTTAAAATACTTCATTAATTTAATATTTATTTATGTACACAAACACTTTAGATAATTAACTTAATTTAACTTTCACAATAAATACTTGTGTGAACACTAGAAATACTGACATTTTGGTTGTCTGTTGTCTTCGCTTAAACTGTAACTGTAGGAATGCTTCATTATTCTCGCATTCTTTATTTTATGATACGTTTAGTATTCGACGATCTTGATATTGTATAGATGCTCTTGAAGTGTCGCTTAGAATTTGATGATTTTGAAATGTTTCAATGGTCGATTTTTGAGGCATCTGGAGAAAATTTCGTGTTTCTTGATAGTGATTTTCAAATTTGAATAATTCAGTGGCTGATATGTTTCTGTTTATTCCCTGTACAGTACTGGTTGGTGATTTCTGATTTTGGTTGAAATATGCCAATCTTGAAGGTGAAGAATGGTAAAATGTCAATTCTTGATAATTGTTCAGGTTTTGGTTGTAGGTAGTTCTATGTAGCTTCATGACTAATAATAATCTTGAATTTTATGCATGGTGATATGTTAGATTGATGTTGATGTTCAGGATGATGGACCGTAGTTTTAAGCTGGTAAATGGCGATATAGTTCATAAAAATAGATGGTACTTCAGTTGATGGTAATTTTCCTTGAATCAGCTGTTATTTTTGTTGATGGAGATGACTTTGTTCCCAGACTCGTATGTCTTCATCAGAACAGTCTCTAATGTTGAAGTCTTTGTATCCCAGAATCACATCTGTTCTGATGTTGCTCCTTACCACTACTTTCAATGGTCTTGATATATAGGGCGACTTCAAATAAATATAAGCTGTCCAAAATCGCATTCAAAAACCTTCTCTGTCTAAACAGTAAACCATTTCTCCGCTATAATCTGATTTTTCTAAAAAATTTTCACGTACCAAAGTGATATTTGATTTTCTATTTAATTGCATTTGTGCTGGTTTCTTGTTTATCAAACATTTAGTTGACTTTTCCCAATATTTCTGACTTGTTGCTCTGTGGAATTGATCATAATCTATATATTTATTGTCCTCTAATAATGAAAATTCTTTATTCATGGCTTGTTTATCTATTAGTATTTCACAGTCTGCCTGTTTCATACTTTGCGTTTCCAATCCATTTTTTCCTTGATTGTGACTCTTGGTTGAATCAGATTTAGATTTCATTTCTAGAAAAGTTGGTGGTTGCTGATTAATTTCCATTATTTCTGAGTTTGACTTTTTCTCTGTTTCAGTGGCTGCTGTCTTTTTCGTTTCAACTTTCTTGCTTGTATTACTACTTTTGCTGGATTCTAATTCTGCAATTACGATTTCGTTCTTAATTTTTTTAGTTCCTGGACATTTCAATTGGCTTTTTCCTATAAACATGATATGTGGAGCTGTAACTTTTCCTTGATTCTTTCTCCAGTAGCACAGTGAACAATTTAGAGTAGGAATACCTTCTGAATCCATTGTAACTGAATTAGTTTTTGCAAACAAAGATCTTTTCTTGTCTTTTAACATCTGTTTCCCAACACAGTGTTTTACAATATGTCCGAATGCTTTACAGAAATGGCACTTTTTAAGGTTATTCTTTTGTTTATTTTGCCACTTTTTATTGACCAAGTCTTCAATATAACTTGAATATTTAGGATCTCTGTCGCAGATAGTTGAAGAACTGTGCTGGTACTTACAAAAAATGCACATCTTGATCTTCTGGTTACTTATCGATGTATCTTTCATTGTTGTCGCTGAAGCTACTTGCGACAAAGCGTTCTTACTTTTTACCAACCTTTTAGATGCCATTCTGATAAATGCACAATCGATGCACAAAATGTCACCGCAGTAAGAAAACTGATAGTAACTGTAAATAAAATTAGTTCATGGTCCGCTAGTTTCCGCGAAACAATAATTGTCACAAATCTGATTTAATTCACAAACTTGATTTATAATATTTACGATGTGTAACTCTGGTGACCATGAAACTTCCTGAATTCGCCAAACTTAGTGATATGGTGTGTGGCAGGGCGTAGATGACACACCGGTTTTCATTGGTCGACAGCTGACCTGTCGGCGCTTGCTGTGTTAATTATAGGCCCTGCTCGGGTAAAAACATTGTATTGTACACTGTTTTCCGCATGTTTATCTTACCTTGCAAGAAAAATTGTTTTCATATGATTGAGGTCCGCGTGGTTTCGAATTTCCTTCGGACAAGCTCCCCACTTGGAATGAATCAAAACGCTGTCTTGAAATTACGCTTTCAAATATCTTGAAATGATTCTGATTCAACTTGGAATGGATCGTGGTCTACTTGGAATGAAGCGTGGCTTGCACCTTTGAAAGAACCTTGGCTTACACCGACTTTAACATCTAGGGTTGACAACACAAACGCCGCTCAGTTTCTTGGTACATTCTGTCAGTTTATTCTGGTCCATTTATTTCACATGTTCAAACATTATTCACACTGTATCACTCGCGACATATTCGAACATTAAACATTTGCGCAACATAAAGACGACATCTTCAAATACTACAACCGTCTTCTCTGACTTCTGATGATCGACTGACCACGAGGCTAGCTCGGGCTTCCCCTCGCTTACTCCACCGGCCACAAGTATCTCGTACCGTCACTTGTAGCACGGACTTCCTGCTTGCCACAATGTACTCGTGGAGACCATGCAAAGCAGGGTCATCATAACATCCATTTCACAGATGTGGTTGCCTTGTGTGTAGATGGTCTTGACCAGTATCAGCCCTGGTCCTGGTGCACCACAAGTGGTTCAGACCTGTGCACCACAGGTGGTTCAGACCTGTGCACCACAGGTGGTTCAGACCTGTGCACCACAGGTGGTTCAGACCTGTGCACAACAGGTGGTTCAGACCTGTGCACCACAGGTGGTTCAGACCTGTGCACAACAGGTGGTTCAGACCTGTGCACAACAGGTGGTTCAGACCTGTGCACCCTAAAAATTAACTGCATCTTTATCCCTACTGTATTTATCAGTGCCAAACATGGACAATAAATAGGGCACTAGAATAGAAAATAACTACATTTGAAATGCGCTATCTCTGCAAGGTGGCTAACAATACAAGAAGAGGCAGGGTTTCAAATAGAAAGTTGAAATAATCCCCTTTCTGGATTAATTCTGACAGACAAAGAATGAAATGGTTCAGCCATATAGTGGAAATGCAGACAGACTAAAGTGCATATGAGGCTTTTTACAGCAGAACATCCGGGAGGAGGATGAGAGGAAGAGCAAGAAAGAGATGGATAAATGGTGTAGCAGAAACCTGCAAAAAGATTTTTTTTTTAAACCATAATTAAAGCCACCAGAGAAGAGCAAGGCAAATACAGAAAACCAAGACACTGGCCTTCAATAAGGTATCAGTGAGACAACAAAAGAATGAAGAATGCAATATAAATAAATTAGAAAGTTCAGTGTGACAAACCCCCTTTCCAGTGTGTAAGAACTTTCTAGGTTTCAATCAGTCCTTTTTATTCATAATCAACACCATTTAATCTCGCAGGATGAGTGGACTTCATCTCTCATGATGAATGAAAATGATGATGAACATGAAAATGATGATGAACCGCTAGGCACAGACTGTGGGAACCTTTCCGTCTTTACAGATGACAGTGTTATACTGTGTTATGAGGAGGCATGCCACTCCCAGCCCATGGTGATGGCAAGTGTGACTAGCAAGATCCATGTGTGTCTTCCCCAATTGAAGCATTGGATTTCAGGTCCACTGTTGTCATCATATGTCATTAGTGTGATTCTTCTCAGACATTCAACTCTCATCCTTTCTGCAATCATTTGTTCCTTCATTCTCATTACCTTCCTGATAAGCCCCCTCCACACAGCCACGGTCCATGTCATTTTGTTCCCACAAATCTACCTCAATAACTGTATCGTTCATGTCCCGCTTGCACACATCTTTATATCATAGTAGAGTCTGGCCTCAACATCTTCTACCCAAATGTAATTCACCATAGAGGATGTCCTCAGGGACTTTACCATCCTCCATTCTCTGGGTGTGACCCAGCCACCTGAGTCTTCAGAGACTGTGCATTGAGAAAATGGTTGTTCAGACTAAAGTTTAAGTAAACAGCTAACAAAGAAGACAGCACAAATCACATAACGTACAACTCACTATAATAAGAGCTTTGAACCTTTGTCCATTCTCTATAGAGTACGTCTCTCCATCGTTCACCAGGATGAAATAGTGACGCATCTGCCCGTCACAACTCATTGTAAGGGCAAATGTCTGATTGTCTGCTCTCTTTCTAATGCTGAAAGGTTAGACAAATGCTAAATTCATCAACCATGTCGTGTGTTTAGAGGTAACAAAATTTATTATTACATCAACTATTTCATGTGTCTGGAAGTTACATAATTTCTTATTACATCAAATATTTCATGTGCTTGTAGGTTACATAATTTCTTATTACATCAACTATTTCATGTGCTTGTAGGTTATATAATTTCTTCATACATCAACTATTTCATGTGCTTGGAGGTTACATAATTAATAATTACATCAAATATTTCATGTGTTTGGAAGTTACATAACTTCTTATCACATCAATGGTTTCATGTGTTTGAAAGTTATATATTTCTGTTTACACCAATTCTTTAATATGCTGGGTGATTTTAATATGCAACAGAGTAAGCAACAACAGAAATGTAATCATCGAGCAGTTGAATGTATCTACAAGTATCATATTTGTGGTCTCTGAACACATTACGGTAGCAGTGTATTTCATGGAGTTTTTAAAATAACAGTCTGTATAAACATTTTTATAAAAAATGTATTCAGACACGAAGAGATATATATAGAAGTTCCTACAGACTCTCAAAGTGATTCCCATTAGCCTCCAGACACCTTTAATAACCAGAATACAATACACAGCTACCGTAATTCGATCTAAATATGGCAGAATATGGGCACAGGATATAAGTGACTCCTTGAGTGTGAAAGTTCATGAGGCGGGAGAACTGGCAAGAGACTGAGTTTCTTACAGGCAGACTGTGATGAGAACTATGTTCTGCAAAGGACCTGCTACATGATGATGATGTCACGTAATGATGACGTTTTTAAACAAGTAGCCTCTATGAAAATGCTTATGCATTTCGCTGCTGGGCGCTGAAAGAAACACAATTTTTTTACATGAATAATTTCAGTGCTTGAGGGAGAGACAGTCTGAAATAAAAACAGCATCTCTTTCAAACACAGGAAAGCTGCATAAATGCTGAACACACTTCTTCTTTTGTCCTAGTGCTAGGAGTTATATGTAGTTTACTGTCTTTTGCTAGTTGCATAGCTTGTGTTAATGTGATTTCTGCAGTGTCTCTTTTATTCCCTCCATTTATGTCTTACTTGGTTGCCTCTTGCCTTTTAGCCTGCTGTTAGTAGTATTCTCATTGGTGAATTAATGTTAAATAAAAGTAAACTAACTTGTAAATTTTAACAATAAAGTGCTAGCTTATAGGTTAATAATAATTTTCCAAGTGTCAACTCACAATGTATTTATGTTATGATTGATGTTAATAACGAAGTGTTTACGTTAATGAAGAGTTAATAAACTGGTTAACAGAAAAAACAAGAGTTAACTAAGTTAAAAGTGATTTTTCAAATGTATCAAGTGACTGGTTAATGTTAATCATTAAGTGTTAATTACTGATTATTAACTAAAAATGAAAACTATCTTACTGGCTAATCTTTGTATAGAAAATTTAATATTAATCTGTAAACAGTTAACTTACATAAATTTTCCGTCCTCGTGTCCCGACTCTTCCAGTCTTCTGATGCACTCCTCACGTGTTATTTCTCCATGATACCAGGGCATCCTCTCGTGCATATTGCGCAGAACCAATATCAACAAAGATTCCCTCATAGTCCCCAAGGCTCTTGACAAACTTGCATTCTGGTTATAAACAAACACACCCAGCATCAGATTTTTACCCCTAGAATAAAAGGTGCAGGTACTCGTCATAAGATGTCTTTGAAAAGGTGCCAGTACTCATCACAACATAAGCGATTGGGTCACCCATTAGCCGGCCAGTAGATGACTTTTTCGCCGGTCAGGACAGTATCTGCAGCAGCATGCAAAGCTAAGCCATTTTTTAATGGCACACATAACCTAGTCACAATTATAACCTAAAGCTCCCCCTTCTGGAATGCTGGTTGAACGTGATAATTTTTTTCCTGTGAAGCACCTACCTACAATTTTCATCAGAAAGCATCTTTTACAGTAGCGATGCCAAAATAATAACTTTTTTGTTAAAAAAGTTACCGGTACTGCATGGCTTTGCGTATCGTCAGCAAGGCCTCTGATTCTCCCTCACAACCGCTCAGTTTTGCTGAACTCTTTTTCTGTCCTGTCTTCATTATCATCATCAAACGATAACACTGTGTCATTGGATCAACAGTTGCTGTTGCACTTTCTAATCAGGTCCCTCCTCCTCTGATGACCAGATGCAATGGAATTCATGGTTGCATGTCTAAGGCTTGTCTAGTCAGTCAAGTTCTGTATCCAGGTGTTTCTTGGTCTACCTCTGCTCCACCTCCCCTCTACTGATCACTGTAGTACAGTTTCCGAGAGGCTATATCTTATTACACGTCCGAACATTTTTGCCTTTTCCCTCTTTTCACTGTTGTTAAAAGAGGTTCAAAGTTACCACTGTGCTGGGTTATTATACCCCATGTACAGAGAGGGTGGGCTGATGAGTGGCAAAGGATTTCTGGGCACTGCATCTGCTTAATTTCACTGTGCGATGGATGCTTTGTGTACAGACTAACGCTAAGATAGTCATGTGCTCAACAAATCTTTATTCCGTCCAACAATGTTGAAAAATCAAGGAGATAATGCATCAGTGTTCTCCCCATCCTGTGACCTCCCCATCCTACGACCTTCCTATCCTGTGACCTCTTGTCAGTGTCTTCTCTCAATCCCCCCCACCCCCCATCACATCTTGAAAATAAAGTTTGTTCATTCATCATCTCTCTATTGCCCTGTGAGTTCCAATCTGAAATTGCTAATCTTGTATTTCAATTATCCCACCATCTTTTCAAATTAAACAAAATTTCATCATTCCAAGTGCCAGTTCTAGAAATGTCCTAAGTGAAAGAAGGTCACTATTCAGTGATCCAGGCACCAATCGGCTTTCTCTGTGTGACTTTATCTAAGATAACCCTATCTTCAGTTTAGCTGGCTGAGTTATTCTTTTTTTCTGTCTAGATTTGTTTTAACCTGGCTTGGTTTTGCTGCTGAAGCTTTCTACTGGATGTGGTGACCAATCCTCCTCAGTCACCTCCGATGACGCTTGGGGCACAGCAGCTAATTAAAATTTTAAGAAAGTCTCAAAGATCCAAAACCATGCTCTCTGTATTATGACCGGGGCAATGCGCACTTATCAGACATGGAAACAATTACTGGTCTCCATGATCTGGAAGATAAGAGAGACACACAGCTCCTCACCCAGCTCTTTAAATACCACCACTTTAAAGAACAACCCATGCACAGTCAACTGCAGAAACCCCAGAAGGCTAGACTAAAGAGAACCTGTTTAATTCAAAACGCAAATGCCAAGCTCGCTGAAACTCAAACTCCCTCCCATAATACCAAATGTTTCCACTGAAACCTTATGACTGCCCCTCTTGGCTTAGGGATAGCCTGCCAACAGTCAGAACCACTGTAACACTGATCTCCAAATCATCAATGAGCAGCACTGATATGAAATCAACCACAGAAGGAGAGATGAACAGACCTTATCCATACCAGAGTTGGATTAGACTGTACACAGATGGTTTCAGCCAAGAGAGCAGTAAGAGACAGAGGAGGAGGAATATTCATAGAATGCCCAAATGGTTTAAAAATCAACCAGGCTGTACCAACAGGTTCATATTCCTCCAATTACAGAGCAGAGGCAGAAGCACTTCTGGCAGCATTTTTCCTGAATGGACAACAGCACATCTAAATATAGCAGAGTGGTCATTCTGACTGATGCTATGTCCGTTCTACAAGCAATTTTTAACCCAAAAGACACTCAGTTTGTAGACTTGACACAACAGCTGATTCACTTGGGCTCTTCAGTAGAACAATCTGTACTGCAGTGGATTCCAGGTCACTGTGGCTTGGAAGGCAATGAAATAGCGGACAGATTGGCTAGAAGCGGCAGTGATGTACAACCAAATAGCGACTAAACCCACCAAGAGACGAAAACATTAATTCAATCTACTATCCAAGAAAGGTGGCTGTCCGATAGCTTTCATAAAGGCAACCGGCCTCCTGATATAAGTTTTCTGACAGAAGGTTTGAAGAAGAAGACCTTCGATGACATGCTTGGTAGCTCAGTGTTTTATTCTTTTTTCCCTTAAAGACCTCAGTAATACATGGGCAAGGCCACAGTATTAGTATCATAATTTAAAATATACTGACTTCATTCATGTCAGAAAATAGAAAATAAATAAAGAACAGATAAAAAACTTTATTTTCATAGGGTTAAAAATTATGTATGCAAGGCCTGCCTAATGAAAAAAGAAAGCCCTTCTAAAAAAAAAAAAAAAAAAGATAAGTGTTGGAAAACACTTATAATCGAGTATCATAATTTAAGATATGTTGGCGTACATCACCATCAAAGAAAATAAAAATAAAGGAACGGATGAAAACTTTTTATTTTCAAAATGTTCAGAAATGGGCACGTTATAAAACATGCTACACAACAGACAATAACTAAATCTATAGATATACCACAGAAATAAACTCTGAGCTCTACTTGAAACTAAACAAGTAATGACTGGTGATGATAAATGCTCCACCTACCATGCTTCTGGCTTTTTCTTTCATAAGGGAATGTAAATCGTTGTAACTGAGGCCACGAAATGCTACTGCCTCTTGGTCAGCAGACCGAGAGCAGGGAAACCTTGGGACGGTTACAAAACCACAGTGACCAGATTGATAATGGTGAATGAGAGCCACTGGGTCTGTGAATGCCATGTCATCGGCTATTGTGTATTGGCCATCAATTTTCTTTTCTATGGAGTAGTGGACAATGCTGAAAGAGATAACAAATTCAGAACTTTCATTTTAGCATGTGACAATGCAAAGTTGTAATGTTGCATTCTTCTTCTTCTTCTTCTTCTTCTGTGTTCAGCTGAAGATGTAGATGCGTTGTGCCCCCTTACAACATGGCTGCGATATTTGTGCCTTTCAGCCGACACATCTAAGTTCTGCAGATATTTTATGCTCGTGTAGGCCTTCCAGGGTAATGTCCTACTATACCTGTATTATGAGAGTTATGGTAACAGTCGCCACCCTGCTTACAAACCAGCCAAGTGTTCAATGGTTCAAAACTTTACTGAATGAACTTTTTAAAACTAATTCGAGCTCCAAGCTTGACCCAGTGTCAATCAGACACAAGAAAATGTCCTAAGAAGTAAAAATGACTGGTGATATATTTACCACATCACCCAGTGAGTGACGATTGGTCAACAAAATTACTGGGCTAAAAATACCTGCAAGTCTTAAGATTTGGTTCTTTTTAAATAAGAAAATGTGTTGGGTAATTAACTGTGTGATAAAGTGAATACAAATTATTCATCTCTTGACTAAACAATCAATAAAATATGAACAGTAACTTGTGAACTGGCAGAGAACAGAACTGTCAACTTCAGACATAAGATAAGAAAAAGACACACATTGAGAAAAACTTGATAACGTAACTAGAACAGCTATCCACCGGACCTTACAGGTCTCAAGGAAGACCACACAGAAATCTCATGGAGTAGATAATGAGCGAGAGGGAGATGATGACAGAGATGCCTTCCAATGGGGGATATTCATCAATGAGTAAGTTCTTTTTTTTTTTTTAAACGTATCCAGAAACCATGAGTTGTAAATGTAAACCCTTTGGCTCGGTACTATGGATATCGCAACCCTTCGGCATTAATTCCATTATAGGTACCGTTAATCTGGGAGAAATGTGGCTTTTCTGCCTACCCCCGGGAGTGAACCCGGACCACAAGGAGTTCGTCACCCGGCCGCCGCGTTACAGAACGTCATTATCATCATGGTATTGCTGAAAGTCTCTATTTCTCTAGCCAAAGTTCCAGCCCTCACGGCCAATGCATCTTCAATGTCTTGTATCCACGTTTGTGAAGGTCTGCCTCTGCCTTGTTTTTTTGGAAACGGTATCCTCCATCACCATCTATTGTGGTCCTTGAACATGCAAGCTACAATACTAATATAAATGACAGAGAAACAGATAAGGGAATTTGTATGCCAAAACAATATTTTGTTCGGGGTCGTCAAACCTTTAGTACTGTTGTGCCGAAGCCATGTTGCAAAGTCACTCCGCGTGCTAACCTAAGTCGGCAATAATTTTCTACACAATTACTAGGGCGGGTGGCCTGCTGCAGCAGAACTGGGGATGCCTTATTCAATATTGCCTGCATAACAGATGATTTATTATAACTTTTGCTGTCATCAGTAACTGCAATTCTGCAGGTGGACTGTTTTTGTTGGCATTTATAGCAGCTGCCACATGCCATTAATGCATATGTATGCTGTGGCTTTGTGGAAAAACCGCTATCTGTTTTAATTGTATTCACAAAGTGATTCAATGTGGTTACTGCTGCCACCAGAATGGTGCAGTTATGGGGTGACCTATTTATCGTGAGGTTGCAAGATTACAAATTAAAATAATTTGATCCGTAAAAGAATTCTATGCAGTTTTTAACTGAGATCAAATAGAGTACTCCAGTTCACTCAGCATGTCATTAAAAACATTTAACGTGCTACCGGTGGCATTCATGAGGTAGGTTACAGACGCTTGCAAAAGATTATTAAAACAACATTAAATGAAACTTACTTTCCCTGAAATGCCATGGAGAGAGAGAAATTCCCCAATGGAGTAATGCTTTCTCGTAGCAAGTAAAGCCCATCTTGCTTCCCATTTACAGTCAATATATCTTCTGCTTCTTGTCTAGTTATCCGTCCATAGAAATAAGGTTCACTGTAAACTCTGGGTATACCAGGATCTTCATCCATCTCACCGTTATTTGCTCCAGGCGGTCGGTGAATGAAGCTAATTGCTTTCTTAAACATTTGTTTTCCTGCTCATGTAGCAAGTATCATCAAAATGCTAAAGTTGTAACATTCAATCAAATTTCAACACTTGTCCGACACATGCATTGTGAGGAAAAAAACAACCAGTTTCAGTTGTGTAAATAATCCAGCTTTATTAACTCTCTTTTGGCACCCATCTGTTGAAAAAAAATGTAAATGAAACAATAAAATTATTTATGGTACATGATGAAATATGAGTATACATGTAATTATACAGCTTTGGTATGTAGGTAAAGTTTTTTTAAATACATATAGAGGACCCTTTTCACACCCTTGGTGCACTGGTTGTATGATGCAAGACCATATTTTCACAGACCAATCAGCACCCAATGGGTGATGCGGTTAGCATCATGCGGACTGTCTTTACTTCTCAGAACAACGTCCTGGTACACCGTTTTAAGCTGGGTCGACTGGGAGGCCTAAGTCAATTATTTTAAAAATCTTCACTTAAGTGAATCAGAGATCAAAGTCTTATGCCCATCAGGTAAGCATTTAACCCAGGGACGAGCAACCATTTTTTTTTGGGGGGGGGGGGGGGGGGGGAATCTGTGGGCCAAATTCAGAATTACCAACCTGGTCACGACTTATACAGAAAAAAAATATAAACACCTCGTAGTGCCAACTGGTCTGTCAAAGTATGGGTGATCTTCCCATATGCCTAATGGACCTAAATGCGTGAAACTAGATCTTTAATTTAATTTATATTACATGTTTAGACATCTGTATAATGAACACATATAAAGCTGAACTGCGATCCTAGAAATGTGAACATACAGAAGAACTGGTAATACTTTATGGGAGAAAAAAAATGCAAAGGTTCTGAAGAGACTGAATGAAAAAAGTGCTGCTGGAAGACACGCACACACACACACACACACACACACACACAAAACAAGTGAAATATTTCTGCCCTATTAAGAGACTGAATTCTCTTATCTCAACAACAACAAAAATAATACTGGATTTGAAAGCTGAAGGCAGTTAACCCAGAGGCAGACAACTGAAAAAAGTTTATATACTCTGAATACTGTAATTTTCTGATATCTTATCCTTACTGAGTAATCACATAATACAATCTCATTGCACATACACACATTTTTTTAACAGAAATTTAAAACAACATACAGCATGCAGCAAAAAATTAGGCAAGCAGGCCCGTCTAACATTCAGCTCTTCCAAACACCCATCTCTCACACAGCAGTTGTATTTTATCAATAAAGCATGCTATGTTCATATAATAATATATAATGAATATTTTAAAAAATAAAAAAATAAAAAGAATGGGTGGTAAAATGCATGTGTGCACCCTCAGGCGTGCACATACACCTACATACACACCCCCACCCACTCACTATCTTACATACACATACTCACCCAGAAACACATCCCCATACATACCCTACACATACACATACCCCACCCACCCACACACGCACACCCCACCCACCCACACATACACATTTGTATAAATATACATACATACATACAGACATACATATGTACGTACATACATGCACACACGCAGGCATTCACACATACAGATGTACATAATACATACAAACTATTATTGAGACAGCCAGGTCCTCATACAAAATAAACAGTCCTACTCAACAACACCTAACAACAACAAAATACAGTGCATATTCATTACCACCCTCTGCTACCAGTATCAGTCACGGTCACTAATAATAATTTAGATATTACCATTAGTAACCACAGAAATGAGATGTATGACAGAAAAAGCTATCGGGGCAACAAGATTATCAAAGTGAGTTTAAAATAGATTTAGCTGACATATCACAAACAACAAATTATATATAACAATCACCAAATTACATATAACAAACACAAAATTACATATAACAAACATCAAATTACATATAATAAACACCAAATTATATTTAAAGACACACACAAAAAAATGGTTTGCACACTTTGAGAGAATGTCTTGTAATACCATCTATACGAATATCTATATAACAAATGAGTAGAGGAATGCTGCCTGAGATGCAGTAGACCAAGAACAAAATGGAAAGATAACATCAGATAAATTATTCAACAGTACCAGGTGTTCATGGTCAAGGCAGCCAGAGGTTAAAGAACCAGAATAACGTAACTCCCTGGACACCCAAAGAGGTTTAAAAAAAGTCAACAAGATATACTAAGCACTAGTTAACACCTTGATACTGAAAAAAAAAAAAAAAGGCAGTTGCTTTTAAGAATGGTTGAATATGTACTTCAGTTGTCAAGGATCCATTTATTCATTTCCTTATATTTGTTGCTGTTGTACGCACCAAATGAAGAAGAGTAAAGTCGGGAGATGTGAACCAGTGTCATTGCACACGGTTATAAACCACAAGTGCTCTGCCATCTACACAATGAGATACAGCAAAATATGCCAGGCAGTGGGAGTCGCCATGGCAGAGCGGCTTGATGCGCGTCGCGGATCGGAAGGTCGTGGGTTCGCTCCCTGGTGGAACCGGACTTTTCTTTCAAAAATGACCTTGGCTTCCAGGTCGACCCAGCCTTGAGTGGCTATCGGGTGCAGTCCCGGGAAGTAGAGGCAGCCGGCGTGATGCTGACCGACCACATCACCCACCTTGTGCTGTTGGTCTATAAAAATATAGGTCTAACCCTATATGCCCTATACGCCTAAAGGCGTGGAAAGGGTCCTTTTTTTATGCCAGGCAGTAAACTGTGCAATCTACTGTTTGTGTCTTCCTCGTTCAAATTTACAATAAAGAAAGAAACGTCCACAATGGTCGAGGCAGCCAGAAGAAGAATGAGAACCATAATCCTGCATAGAATCTCATTTGATTCATCTCAACATCCGAAACAAGCGGTAAATAGTAAAAGAAGAAGAGAAGAAAGAAAAAAAAAACAGATAAAAAGATATTAATTACTAAGCGCTGGCCTAAACAGCCCAAACACATCAGCAGAATTCAATGTTACTTATACCTGACAATGAAATAAAATGTTCTAAGAAAACGTCAAACAACATTGAAAAATTAAAAAATGTTACAAATAATGAAATAATAATAAATTATAGTATACATATATTGCAATTAATAAGCAGCTATTAGGTACAGTTCATAAATTAATAAACACATTCATCTATCGTATGTAATGTCACATTAATTCAATAAACGACATCAGATGTTACATACGAACTTTATAAAACAATGGAATCACAGCAACAATAACAATGTCCATATTACCTCCTCTTCCCGTCTGATTCAGGGACTATGCAAAACTAGGAAGTGAAATGCGCACGCAATGAAACTAGCGTAAAAGATGTCCTGTTTGAAATGAAAATGCATCATTTATTTATCACTCTCTCAACTGGGGTTTTATAATTACATTTGCTGGAGACTTGAATTGTTCAACTCTAGTAGTAAAATAATCATGTGGGAGTTTATTTAGTAAATTTTGTTCATTCCAGTATTGATCTGATTAATAAGAGCAAACATGTCCGTTGAAAACACAACGGACATCCCACTTATAGCCCTGAGAGTTAAATAAGATATGGTTAAATAAGATACGATTAATTAGATAAGAGCAGTGGCGTCGCAAGCGGTGGTGATTGTTGGTGCTGGTAGCTGTATCAGTAATATTCTGATCAGCGCGTCTGAATTATAAATTAGGTATACACAGTCACAAATATTTTGATTGTGGATGTTTATATGCTTACTAATATCCGTTTTTATAGCCTTTATTTTATATAATATAGGTTATATAAACAACTTTATCACATTGATATCCATCAAAAAAGTTTTTTTTCAGCTCTTCCCCTTCCTCTTTACGTCAGCTCATTCGGCTAATGCTTGGACAAGGGGAGATGGTGGGGGGGTCAGGATCGTCTCTGAAAGTGCCCGCACTTGTATATTGTTATAGAAAGAATAATAATAGAGTCAAAACAAAGTCGGTAAAAAAAAAAATCAAAAAAGGCTTGCATGTTTATCAATAGCATTGATACCCCACATGCACTGAGTTATAATATAAGTAAGGACTCTCCTCCACACTTTCAGGCGCAGGCCGAAGGTGGGCACATATGGCTAAGCCTATATTTTAGGCTCTCAGTGGGTGAATTGTTCAAACGCCAACCGCCTTTACTTCCCACTTTGTCTGGTACTCATTTAAGGCCGGACTGACCTTGGAGCCAAGGCTTCGTCGGGACATGAACCCACGATCTTCGAATACGCACTAGAGCATCTAGCCGTTACTTCACGGCGACTCCCATTGTTTTCTAGAGATATACTAAATAATATGGTCCTAGAATCTGGTTAAAACGAATGAAAGTAGTAGTAGTAGTAGTAGTAGTAGTAGTAGTAGTAGTAGTAGTAGTAGTAGTAGTAGTAGTAGTAGTAGTAGTAGTAGTAGTAGTAGTAGTGGTAGTAGTAGTAGTAGTAGTAGTAGTAGTAGTAGTAGTAGTAGTTCGCACTTAAATTATGCTTAAACCTCTTGAGGCCCCTCCTCCTCTAGAAAATTTTAACCACCCCCCCCCCCCTTTTTCCTCCATTTGATTACCGAAGGCGGCGCTCCCAGTAAAAAACGTACTCTCCTCAGACCTGTTTCAGCTTAAAGACAAACGTAGACCACAAGTAATATACTTAACAAGTCAGAATGGGTGAGTAAATTATATTTCATGCAATTCTGCCCCCCCCCCCCCCCACCCCTTTTTTCCCATTGATGTTTTTACATAATATTGTAATAATTGCGTTAATGTATTCTCCCATTTGTTACTATCTTAGTATTCCTCCTCCTCTTAGTTTCATCTTAGTCTTCCTCTTAGTCTTCCTCTAAGTCCTCCTCTTAGTCCTCCTCTTAGTCTGCATCTTAGTCTTCATCTTAGTCCTTCTCTTAGTCTTCCTCTAAGTCCTCCTCTTAGTCTACCTCTTAGTCTTCCTCTTAGTCTTCCTCTTAGTCCTCCTCTTAATCCTCCTCTTAGTCTTCCTCTTAGTCCTCCTCTTAGTCTTCCT